TATTATTAACGTTGTCTACCTACCAGTGTGCAAATTAACAAAAACTCATTTAAACAAAACGTATCCATCATCATTCCGTTCCGGATCATCGCCATCCACTCCAAGTGTTGACGTTTCCTCCAAATTAATGGCCCTCCTCGTAAACGGGTCGTACGATTCGCGACGCGTGCATTTCCGGATATACAACCGGTAATGAGAGTTCAGGCGCCGTTCAGAAAAAAATGACAATCGTCATTTCTATAGAAGTAATATATAAAAAACTCGTATCACAGTGTTTGTCATCTCTGAAACCGCTTGACCGATTTACTAAATTTCTCGTATATCTTTGGTAGACCTGAGAATGGGTCGTAAAGAATTTTTTAGCAAAATATTCAAAAGACTGTTTCCCCCGTAGGGTGACGATGACCCCCTCGTGTGGTATTCTTACCCACTAAATAAACACACGATGGACTATGTATATAAAGTGTACTATTTAATATAAGTGTAACTTTGTACGATCGAATCCAACTAACTGAATAAGAAAATTGTTTTGAAAACAGTTGTGGAATATCAAACATACGCTACGACCCTAAGAAGCATAACAAGAACTAAGTGCTACTGACAGAAATACTAAATTTAAACATTATCTTTTATAATTACTAACTGTCCCGGCAAACATTGTTTTGCCATATGAATTAAAATCGCTATTAAATAATAGGGGTTGATGGTAGAAGGGTGACAGTTTAGGGTTGTATGTGTTTTTTAATGCTATATTAAAAAAAAATGTTCAAATATAAAATAAAATGTTAGGGGTGGACAACCCTTATCACTTAGGGGTATGAAAAATAGATAGTAGCCGATTCTTAGACCTACTGAATATGCACGTAAAATTTCATAAAAATCTATCAAGTCGCTTCGGAGGAGTATGGTAACCACAAATAACATAAGATTACATAATGGTAACTAACATTGTGACTCGAGAATTTTATGTATAAGATATATATTTTTAAAAAACGGAGAGTTGAGTCACACTTATGAAAACAAATAGCCGGTACGAACTCGCGACTCTCTGAAGACAAGTCAATAAAAACTCGATCATTTTGATTTAGTACCAGCTACCCGCCCAGGTTTCGTGGGTGGGTGTACATGTATTATACATATAAACTTTCCTCTCGAATCACTTTATCTATTCTTAAAACTGTATTAAAATTCGTTTGCGTAGTTTATAAAATCTAAGCGAACAGATAGCGAAAGCGATTTCTATTTTATGCTATGTAAAGAAGTGGAAAATTTTTATGTATTTATAACTTTGTACTTTGAAGAAAAATAACAAAGAATACAAAAGTGAGATTAGTGCGTACACTCGTGTTCCCCATATTTCTCTACGGTGCGGAGACGTGGACCCTGCGGGATATAGAAAAGAAAAAGATAGACGCTCTGGAAATGTGGTGCTGGGAGTATCATGGACCGAATTCAGAACAAACGTTTCTATACTCGAAGAACTCGGCATTACACAGCGTCTATCAGCAACAACACAATCCCGCATTATTTCCTTCTTTGGTCACGTTTCACGAAAAAACGACGCATCCATAGAGCGACTTCTCATACAGGGTAGAGTTGATGGTACGATCCCGTCCCCGTGGACGATCACCCATGCGATGGACCGACCAAATCAAAGCAGCAATAGGCGGTCCACTCCACGAGTGTACCAGAATGGCAGACAGTAGAGACAAATGGCGAGCTGTCGTGCGGCGGATGACATCAGCGTCACATCCCACTACGCAATGACCACGACCGTTCTGACAAGAACGAAGCGAATGAGAAGAAGAACTTTGAAGTAGCCCGATCAAAAAAACATAATCAGAACGAGGCTGTTATCTTGAAAATATAACAGGATGACTTACAAATAAGCTGCCAGATAAAAATACAAGATAATCAGCAATTTCCTCAGGATATTAGAAATTTGTGCATGTTTAACTATCATTCTAATCAAAAACACACCGCGTGTTAAGTGCTCCTCGCTCTTTTTAACTTTTTTTATTTCAACAGTCTATAATAAACTTTGACACTTTTTTACAGAGCCATCTTATCTTTGTACCGTCACGTTAAGTGTTTTGGTTTTCACAATTTTACTATCTCCTGGGAATCGAAGTGCATTCAAATACTGACGTGCCCTTACTACCATTGAGATTTTTTATTTATTTTTTTACAATCATAAGTAGACACTTAACGGTTTTAGAAGCCCGTGTCATATCGTTAATGAACTGCTGTCGTGTGCACTTTTACTTAGTGAAAAAAATATTTCAAGTTCGTTTTTGTGTATCCAAAACCAAAATACCAAACTTTCCTTGCGTTGCACACTGTTCTATGCAATCTATGCAATTAATGCTTACATGCATAGTAATATTATTAATTCTAAAGTGAGTTTGTGTATTTATGTTACACATCTGAAATATAATGCCCAATCTAATAATAACTTTCAGTAGGTATAGTATGTGGGATAAAAAGGACATAGACTACCTTCTATTCTTGACAACCAAATTATTTCTGTTACGTAGACATAGAAACTCGTAAACTACTATTACTAGTTTTACGTGTGAAATAGAATAAAATAAATGAAATCATAAAGGTTAAAACTACGTATTAATCACTACAATTAGCAGGTAACAACCAACCCGACAGACGTTGTCCTATTCCTATTCCCCGCAATATTAACAAAATTTTTTTCATGAGAAACTTTTCGTGACTATAACAAACACAACAAAAAAATAATTCAAAATCGGTCGAGGCGTTCACGGGTGATGCCATAACCAAGATAAATATGGAATTCATTTTAAGTTATAAAGATTAATATAGTCATCTGTATTATTTCTTAATTAAGTCCAAAGAATTAAGAAGTTAAAATTGTCATTGCAACGGAAACTATTGAGCATAATTTAGTATACGTTACATAAAAGGTACAACTACAGACAGTGTCTATTGTAGCTTCATCCTCTGCCCCATTTGTACGAGGCGACAGTAGCTGTATCAGTTGAGATGACATGTCATGGTCTACTGACTTACATGTTGACAGCGGAGTCTGCGCGGGCGCATCGCTGCTCATGTAACCGATACCCGGCGGCATCGTATGCGCAGGGTGGTCGGCTATTTAAGAAATTTCGCGGAAATATGCCTAACTTACAATATTGAATTACGTGACTTCCCTACACAGTCTTTTCGATTTGAAATGAAAGAAATTCATTGTTCTATTGAATAGTATTAAAGAATTTAAAACGACATCTATGTAATTAGGTATGTACATTGGTGTAAATGAAAAGTATAATCTATGGGTTTTAAAATTAGTAATGTTTCTTAGCAACTGTGTATAAGTGTGTATGTAGGATTATGTATATGATTGAAATCTATATCCAATCTGTATTTATAAAAAACACCATCTGTAAAACATACAAAATGGTGGTAAAACGGTTCAAATATTGGCATCGATAACAAATAAGTAAGTATAAAATGGAAAATTACGGATTTATGTACGATAATATAAAATATTATTATTTACTTGTATACACACTATTTTATCAAACGATAAAATACTATTGCTTTTTAAAAACAGGCCGAATCTCGTGCCTTTCAAAGTTGAGCTAGTAATATTACAATATTGTTATACTACTGTGATACTTTTATTTATATCTCTGTCGACATTGTATAACTTAAAATAATACTAATAGACAAATTAAAATCGTGGTACAATAATTTAGAACCAAATGAGTCTTGGTAACTACACCAACTACAATTCTGTAAAATAATCGGTACAATTTAAGATATAATTAATTTATTAGCAACAATAAGTTGTAAATTCTAATTTTAAGTTGTACTTAAGTATCATGGTCACAAATTAATTGCCGTCTTTTCATAAATAAGTACAACCCGATCCCAGAATCCCTAACCTATCAAAACAGCTACTTTATTGTCGACACAAGCCTTCTTTCATTCCCAACGCATTAAACATAATAAATCTGATCAATTCAACGTTTAAGTCGAGTAATTTCAAAGAGTCGAAATTTGTCCTGACAATATTTACGGTGACAGCTGAGAACGCGCATGATTCGCCGAGATCAAAGCTGGGATGCGCAAGCGCAGCGTCATGTGTTCGACAAGGAGGTCGAGCATTCGCTCCTTGGGGAGTACTTAAAAAAACAGCTTGTGTATTTTGTAAATAATATTTTATTGCGGCGCCTTCAGTCGGTCTGTGGCTGAATGTTAAACGGCGGTTCTTTTGACAAATTGTATTAAAAGATATTTATTGAGTTGTTATGGAAACAAAGATATTTATAATTATTTTGTTATATTCGATACATGCAGTATAGTATTAGTGAATTATCAATCAATGATCACTAAACGAATTTATGGTTGAAGTAGTGGTAGTGAGTATGAATTTTGAATTGATATGGTTTAGGAAGTTTTGTGAGAAAATATGGAATAATAATAATATCCTAGTCAATTCACATAGCGTCATTTACACACCATCTAGTGCCCACCTTAGAAGAGCTTGTGTTAGACAACTGATACATATACTTAAATACTTTTATAATTAGTAAACACCAAGGCCGTTAAAAGTGTTTGACCTGTGCGAGAAATCGAACTCGCGACTATCGAAAAGGAAGGCGATAACGATCTACGCTAAACCGCTAGATCTACGAGATTTTCCAACACAACCATATAAAAAGTAAGTAAATATGCAAATTATATTAAATACAATTTTAAAAAGGTAACACAGTATTTGCTTTACAATGGATGACTATTGGAAGATAGATAGTAATCTTTCGAAAAGCATTAATTCAGCATGCAACATCATTTATGGTTCTACTATATATGTATATACTTCTCGGGACTTTGAAGATAAATAAAAAAAATAAATTCTTACAAAAAAGTAATCAACTCAGTCAATTTATTTTTGGCTTATAAAAATAGTAAATTTTCACAATGTCATGTTTTTCTTCTATATATTTGTATATATACATTTATGTTTATTGCGTGCTTTTATTCCATGCTCCTGGGCATTCGTAGTGCCTGTTGATTCTTAACCAATCCTTGTCGGTGATGTAAATACGTTGACCCATTTCTCCTTCATGCTCCTGAAATTTAATAACCATATGTTAATATTTGTGCTACTTGGAAGTAATCCTAAGCCTAAACTACATCAACCAGAACATACGGGGGGCCCCAGTATGTTCTGGTTACTGGACACTGCAAGCTGAATAAGCACATCGCGAAATTAGGCCTTAGTTTAACATCAATATGCACATTTTGCCAAGCAGCAAAGCACTCATCCTTAAAGGAAATATTTCCATTTGAGGGAAGGGGATTCATCATCGTGGGCTAACTGACCTGGCTTCATAGTCATCTTATCATGCTTCACTGGTGTCCCGCCAGCGTAAACCGTTAACGCAGACGGGTGCACCATTTCATTATCATCCATAATAAAAACCACACATATTATGCAACTAGAATATGGTTCGCTAACTAAACTAAGACTAAACCAATTTGGTCGCAGCTGTATTTTAAAAATAATTTGTTATAATTTTTGTAAAATGTTGTATGATTGTTTTGTATGCGCCAAATAAATATATTTTTCTTTCTTTCTTTCTTTCTTTCTTTCTTTCTTTCTTTCTTTCTTTCTTTCTTTCTTTCTTTCTTTCTTTCTTTCTTTCTTTCTTTCTTTCTTTCTTTCTTTCTTTCTTTCTTTCTTTCTTTCTTTCTTTCTTTCTTTCTTTCTTTCTTTCTTTCTTTCTTTCTTTCTTTCTTTCTTTCTTTCTTTCTTTCTTTCTTTCTTTCTTTCTTTCTTTCTTTCTTTCTTTCTTTCTTTCTTTCTTTCTTTCTTTCTTTCTTTCTTTCTTTCTTTCTTTCTTTCTTTCTTTCTTTCTTTCTTTCTTTTTTTCTTTCTTTCTTTCTTTCTCTTTCTTTCTTTCATTCTCTTTCTTTCTTTCTTTCTTTCTTTCTTTCTTTCTTTCTTTCTTTCTTTCTTTCTTTCTTTCTTTCTCTTTCTTTCTTTCTTTCTTTCTTTCTTTCTTTCTTTCTTTCTTTCTTTCTTTCTTTCTTTCTTTCTTTCTTTCTTTCTTTCTTTCTTTCTTTCTTTCTTTCTTTCTTTCTTTCTTTCTTTCTTTCTTTCTTTCTTTCTTTCTTTCTTTCTTTCTATCTTAATCCCCATTACACTGTAAATAAAATGTAAATAAATAAATAAATGAATGTAGTCTACCTGGAGGGCGACGATGGTGGGTTGGCCGTTGCTACTGAAGGCAAATGGTCCGTAGTGGAGGCAGCTTACGTAGTCGTATTCGATCTCCAAGTTGTCAACCAAATCCGCGGTGTAGATAGCGAAGTTGTGCTCAGTGCCTGTACATATTTAAAATAAATAAATATATTTATCTTCACAATTCTTATCCCAAATGGGGTAAGAGATCTATTAACAGATGTTCTGATTAACGCAAACGCACTTGACATGAACATGTTTCTATATATTTATTTGAATCCAAAGTTGCAGGGGCGATCCTACAGGGACGTCTCCCGTATTAACTTTCAATGTCTTTAGAAGGCTAGATAGAGTAGATAAAATATGCTTTATTTGCATTATATAATTATAGAAGATAGGCAATATTAATGACTAAACTAAACATATGTATTTAAATACAACATACAACTTTGTAATTTTTATGTTACTAAATAAAAAAAAATATTATAATGAAAACAGTCTTAAATAATTATGTAATTATTTTCCAAATTACATTTTATCTCATAATTACAATATGTCTCTGAATAAATTCTACATCTACGTTATTTAGATTAACATAGATATATATATTGGAAGATTGAGCCCATAAATGGAGGAATTAATTAAAATTAATGGATTGTCATCATATGTAGATGATGAGAATCCATTAATAGATTATGTATATTTTGTTCACTGCCCACCTCAAGATAAATGATAACCATTCCCTACATACTTTATCAACACTAGAAGACTAGGAAGTTACGGCATATACTGTAATTTCACTGACTTGTCCGATCATGCAACAGAAATACAGCTTACAAAGCAAGCTGCTTGGCGGCTGAAATAGGTTTTATAGTCTCATTCTTTGTTTATTTTATATCATAGACTAGCTGTTGCCCGCGCTTCGCTTGCGTTATTTTATCTCCTTAGGGGTGGAGTTTATCAAAATCCTTTCTTAGGGAATGCCTACGTCATAGTAGCTTTATGCATGCAAAGTCTCAGCCCGATCGGTTTAAAATTGACAAAGTTTCATATAAACTTTCATCCCCTATTTTATCCCCTTGGGACTAGAATTAATCAAAATCCTTTCTTTAGATTCCCAACAGATCTATGGTTCTCCGTAACTAGTCTGAGCCAGTGTATAATCATCAATGTTACTCTGTGCCCAACTCTCTTCACTCTCCACTCATCTCTTACTCCATGTCTATTTATAAGATGTGTTCTATGTATATTCAATAATAATGAATTAAATATAATTGGTTCTTGTCAATTAAGAAACAACAATATAGTTTATAATACACAACAAAGAGGTTACTTTGATTATTTTGTTTTGTAAGGACAATTAGCGACATAAATGACAAATAAAACTTACCAGGAGTGAGATTCTCCTCAGCGATCCTAACGTAATCATCTCGGTTCCAGGTGGACTGCATGTGCAGGAAGCCAAGAATGTGCATCCACTCGTGGACAATGGTGGCGTGGCGGAAGCAGCCAATTCCTGGCGTGTTGCGGGCGAGGTTCAAGGTGTGGACGCCACGTGTCTCCCAATATCCTACATTAGCGTAACAACCGCCAGATCCACCCTGTTACATATATAGGTTATGAGAATAGGCCTAAATGAGCAATATTATATCTAAATTGTAATAATAATAGCATAAATCAAAACCTAAAACATAGCTATATTTTAGGGTACATTTAGGCTATTATTTTTATTATGATTTTCTAGAACATTTTAATTTTATGTTTAATTGTAACTACATATTTACTAGAATAATAACAATACAGAACGAATTAATCGATTTAGAAATGCAAGTCAACTTACGAATGCAATGGCAACTGTCGCCAACTTACATGAACATCACGGATAAGATCCGTAATATACATGTGTCGACATATATCGATATATGAATATCCTCGTCCTACATCGAGACCCGTGATAGCACTCACCTATTATCTATTATCGATTTTTGTAATTTTATACCATTTTAAATATCTTAAGGTTGGCAACCCAAATATTTCACTGGTACATTTCAAACTGCCCTTCAATCTTACAAAGCACCAGAAATAGAAGAGATAGCTAGTACTAGAAAGTTCTAAAAATTAAATAATCATTCGTCAAACACTTACAGTAACTCTCACAAACGCTTGATCTCCAGGCTGCCTGTAACGGAATCTGATGCAGGTATGCTCCTCGATATCCCTGATGCCCTCTTCGATGGCGGCTTGCTGCAGGGGTCCTACAAATTGTAATATATGCAGGTATATCTAAGTTAACATAACAATTGTTTGTCCAATACGGGTAAATGTGTTTTTGTCTTTGTTCGTTATTTGTTGTCTAATGTCTTAAATAATCTAAATTAAAAAAAACACATATGACAATATATATGGAAGAGCGGGATGTACCTGACACAGGCATGTCTATGCTTACTAGGTCATCCCAACACTATGTTATTGTAACTGAATTGTTTTTAAAGAAATAAACATTTTTTCATTTTTTATTTTCGTTGTTATATTGAGTAACAGCAAGATTTGTTTTCTTTTATCACAAACATTCCTTGGAATATAGAAAATTAATTAATATTTCTCATGGAGTTACTATTTATTCAATAAAAATATATATTTACATTACTAACATTGAGACATGATTTGCATTTTATTTTCAGTGAACATCAAAGAATTTTCTTCGTGATTCAATTTCATGGTTCATTTATTTTTATTTTTTAATCATATACAAACATTATCCATCAAAGGTTATTAAAAATCACTTATATATAGATACATCATTGATAATATGACACCATGAATTAATTCAAATTCAGCCATCAAAGCTGATTAAAGAGATAATTATGATTATGGGCATGATTCGACATGAGATATTTTGATAAATCATTAATGACTTTATCAAATTTATCATGGTATGTTTTAAATCAAGGTTTTTATTGTCATTTAGTACCTACATGTGATTACAAAGCGTGAATATAATTTCAATTATGAAATATTTATTAATACATTTGGACACTTTTACATTCATCTATCTACGAGTATACGTATTATTGTCTATAATAATTATATGATGACTCCATTGCTAGTAGGGATGCCATCGTGGTCAATTTCCAGTAAATTCGCCACGATGGGCTAAGTAAGGATGAAAGGATTATCATGACAAGTTACTGACTTCATGCTTATCCTATCATCCTCCACTAGTGCCCCACCAGGTTACCATTAGCTTAAGCGGGTACACCATTCCATTATCATCAATGATAATAAAAAATACTCACCGAACTCGCCTTCTCCGAATTCCCAAACGACAACATTTCCAGGCCACTTAGTATTGGGCCAAGTGTATGCATTACGGCCCATAGCATACTCCTGGATCATGTTTGCGATGATGAAGTCATCAACAATGATGTCTCCCTCGTATTTGCCACTGATTTCCTCGGGGTTCGCGAGGGGGAAAGCCTTCGAGCGAGCGAGGAACGCTTCACCGTCATCTGTGTCTGTAAAAGACATTTAAAAATCTATTAGTATCAACAATATTTTACGTCTGTGTGTGTACATCTCTTCTATTAAAACATTCTTTGTAATACCATTATTCCAGTTGAACCAGATAAGGATAGTACCATTGTTCCAGATAAGGCAGTAAATACGGCACATAGGCTGGCATCTGAGCCAGCTCAGATGATACTGAAATCTAGCAAAGCATGACTGATACTAAGGGAATCACGGGATAATTTAATGCCTTAGTTACCACTTACCATCAAGAGGGTCGTCTACTTATGTACCATTACAGTTACATTAAAAAATTACATTATTCTAGTAGGCAAGAATGGCACTGCTTTCTTATTGATAAAATATAATACGGTTATGGGACTATAATTACAATGTAGCCCAACTCATTACTTCATTACCTTCAAACTGAAACAGATTAGTAAAGCAAGCTGTTTAGCGGCAGATGTAGATGAAACCTATCTATCTACAATGAACGTTATACCACAAGAAACTGTTTTATTAAAGCGAAATGTTATAGCCAAATTAGCATTATATACAATATAAGTAATGTATATTTATTTGCTAGTAAAACATTTTTTGTGGATAGAAAATATTATTCTACATATTATGGTAAACATTAATAATATTGTTTCATCGTGTTCTACTTGAACACATGTAGATAGCTCTGTATAAGTTTGATAAAAGCATACTAATCGTTGTAATTAATTAAGATAAGACTAGTTATCTTAATTAATTAGATTAGTACCCACAAACCCAACCCAAAATACCCACGGGTAAAAATTAGCCGTGGTTATTTTGGAAAAACAAGTAGTATAGTAGGATATAATGACATCGCTTTATCATCTGCTTCTTCCTTTTCCTATTCATTTGGGGCCGGGGTAATATGTTTTCTCTTTCATTCATCCCTTTTCGCAGTCATATCATTATATATTCCCATATCATCTTTCACATAGTCTATCCATCCCCCTTTCGGCGTTTCTCTACCCGTATAACCATTCACATTCATAGGTAATACTTTCTTTGAAGTGTACTGAAATCGTTTGTCCATAAACAACGATTTCAATGTTATCTGCATGATATACATATTATGTGACAAAAACATCGCTATTACAAACAAAATTTTTATATCTGTTTTCCCCAAAATATATCTCGCAATTAACGTCGTTTTGTGGATATATAGTGTCTAAACAATGGAATAGAGTTTTGATGATTAATCATATCTAAACCACCTACGTATAAAATACTGAATATAAATTATTAAAATATAAATACACAGAATATTAAATCTTGTACACTGTACTGGCTTATCAGAAATGTATTTGTACTTTAAAATAGTATTTAAATTTATAGTTCTTTCTTTGTATTACATACAGTCATAACAAGCATTAGCAGGTTGTCCTAAAACGTTAACTAAGTTGTAAATGTTTGGTAATGCACAAAGCACAAGAGTTAAACTGGTAGAGGGTAATTAGTAAAATTAGTGGTGGAGCTAAATACGACACGAAAATATTTCTAACAGTAAATTGTCATATATTTTTTCCCGGCATTTTCAAACGAAAATCTGTACCATTATCTGGACATTTATGTGATAACAATATATAATAATATTATTATCGCAACATTAAAAAATATTTTATTATAAGCCGACTCTTTATTAAAATATTAATACTTTATATTTTATTTCAGGCAGATGCAAATTTCATAAGTTAAATAACATATTTGTAGAGACACAAAATTTTCGATATGGATAATATTTTTATCCTATTTCCGTTATATTCGACCGCTCTCTATTGTCAATCAGTTTACAATATAATATATTTTGACGTAAATAAAAGCGACTGCCATGCAGAAATGTCATATTAATTATTAGACATAATGACTTAGTATTCAGTAATGATAACGAATAAAGGATACCATCAAATTACAATTATGTAGTGAAATCCATAGTGCTCTTTATATAAATTTGTTAACTTCACAACAGATAAGGAGTCAGTATTTTCGCCATTCTAAGTCATAGACAATAATTACAATGTATATGAACTTGTCCTAAAATTTTTAATAATAACTATAATCGACTTACTAATTTTGGTGTTCTCCAAGAAGGATCTAAATGACTCTATCTCTTCCCGGGTCCTCACCACAGACGGTGTGGCTGCCGCCAACCCTAATAAACAGACAAGAATGGCAAACTTCAACATCCTGACACAGCTGACACTAATATCATCAAAATACGTGAGACGCGGCATCGCATTTATATCAAGCGTTTATCATATCTTTAAGATAATTGTTATCGATTAAATTTTCTAATCTCCATATTATTATGACGATTTAATCGATATTTCTGATTTTTTTATTCATATGCATGTGGAACAGATCCTTATGGTGGACTTTTTAATAAAAATTTAAATTTGAAATATTTATATTATTGTATTAGTACAGGACATAAAGACTCCTTTGTATTTTTGAAATTCGAACGCGTAGCATTCATTTGTCTTATGAATAAAAATAATATTACAGAGATGTGAAAATTCAATCATGGCATTTTTATTATATACATAGTTTTTTTATTATATACATCTGCGATTTATATAATATTTATATGTGAATCAAAAAGTTTATACCTTTGTACCTTTTTACTAAATAATGGGATAAAGGCAAGGCAATGATGATGAATAGAAAGTCCTACTCAGTTGTAGTTAGCTACAACCCATTGTGGTGAATTAACTAGCAATTAGGTAACTTGACATGTTTACTGCAAGTGGGATCAACAATCCTTATTGGTAATAGTCTATTCCCGTCTCTTAAGGATTTTATTTTCATATTTAATGATAATAACCCTAGACAATTCTCGCTACGGCATTTTGTCCCAAGCTAAGCAGATTTCGTGTTATTTTTTTATTACATACTCTTTATTGTACTATTTAAAATAGGGCTGATTTTAGTATTTACCTAACTTAGGTAAATGTATCAACAGGTACTAATATGAATAAAAAAAATACATATATACGTACTTAAATACTATAATTATATATATAAACACATAATATAGATCAATATATTATGTATGTATGTACATATATATATTTTACATACCATCAGCAGGCAGTTAACACTAATTTTGTTGCTTCAGAATATAATCACGTTATGGTTATTAGCTGGATAATAAACATTACGGTATTAGCTAAAAAATATTCATGTATTTATCTCAGTAGTCTAGTACCCATAACATACGCTATGCTTAGTTCGGGACCAGATGGCGTTGTGTAAATTGTCCTGACATGTTATTATTATATTAACATAGAAATAGGTAAAACACTCAGAAAAGGGCGTAGTTTTGAATACAAATGTTTGAGGAATCGAACCCGCTACCATCGGAAATGAGACACTAAACCGCTAGACTACCGAGGCCGCATTTTATGATCTTAAGAGGATTTCGGTCTATTGTTACTAAGGTAGCCATGTGGCATGGTATAGGCACTATAATCTAATTCGAATACTCTTTCTTATTGTTTGTTATATGTTAGTTAATTTCGATTATTACATGGACGACGTCGCGGGTATAACTAGTTTAGATAAAACCGCGACTCAAGGCCATCACTTGAATTTTTTAAATGTATATTAATAGACTACCTAGTACCAGTGACTTCGTCCGCGCCCGTTATAGTAACAGTTAACAGTAAAAGTCTAAAGTAGCCTAAGCTACTCCTGATAATATTAGTTAACTATTTTATTAGATAACTCGCAGATGTGAGAACAAACAGACTGATTTTTTTTTCCTGTAAGTATCCTATAATACTTATGAAAGTATTATTTCGCATTAACAACTTTTCAGTGAATGCATTTATTGAAAAGCTGTTAATGCGAAATTATAAACAGATACTTAAATTTTATTTATATGTATATATATATAATAGATAAATAACGAAAAACAATGTACCTTATCGGTATGAAAAGACCAGACAACAGATGGGTCATTAATACCTATTATTTTGTGAAGGTAGGTACTATATTTCAACCTTTATACCAAGCCAGTTGTTTGTAGGCTGAATCAAGTGACACCGACAGAAAAAAGTTAAGTTTTAAGTTAATTAGCTATCCACCTATACTAGTTAACACCTAGTTCAGTAAGTCAAAAAAAAATTTTATATAAGTAATAAATAAATATTCATGGATACATAACTAACCAAACTTCAATTAACTGCTAAGTTTGTATTATAGTCACATCAAAAAATAAGCATACATTAAGCACATATATAAAGACATACTTGAGTAATCAATCATTTGTAAAAATAAAATATTAACTTATCTGTGAATAGATTTTTACCTAAGTTTGAATGAAAATCAAACCCACGACCGTCGGAGTTTAAGGCACTGTAACCACTGCACCACTAAGGTTGTAAATTTGGTACTTTGATACACTGTAATTAAGTATTTACGAGTGGGTTAATTACTTTATCAGCTTAAAAAAACCTGCGATTGTGATATAGCTAGATATAGATGTTGCATGTTTATACCTATGTCTGTTTCAAACATATTAAAAAAATAGCGGTGACTAATTTGCACAAAACTAGTTGTGCCCGCGGTTCACCTACATGAAATTTATAGTCTATATGTTATTCTGATGTATAAACTATGTCACTGTAAAATTTCATCAAAATTCGTTCAGTAGTTTTTGCGTGAAAGAGTAAAAAACATTCTTCTATACTCACAGACTTTCGCGTTTATAATATTAATAATTAATAAGATATAACGAATCTAATGTCTATTAAAACGGTAATAGTAGAATGACTGACGGATTGTAATATAACTATTTTTTGTCACCCTTCAATAAAAACAGCATAGGTAAAAAGCGAGAACGAAACAACTTTTTAAAAGTCTACCTCAGTCTACGGTTTAGTTATTTATTATATATAATGTATACTATCCTCAGAAAAGAATATCAGATAGGTTTAAATTAAATTTTATAATATTTGTAGTCAAGGGTACCAAACAGAAAAGTATTCTGAATAAAAAGGCAATGAAAATTCTGATCAACTGATGCTGATCATCATATACATAAACGAAATATCTCCTTTGGAAAGTACACACTCTATCCTGAGGAGCCCAAAACCATCGCCCCTAAGAATATTTTTCAATTCTTGTCCCTGATGATTAAATTATGGCAAGCAAAATAGATGTATACCGTAGTCGCAGTGCAGGTTCTGTTTAGAAACTTGCTTTATGAAATAAGTTTCGATAGGATGGGATAAGACAGTGCAATTACAAGGTAACACATTTTAGTCCTCTGGTTGATCATGATATGGTTCATGTTTAGAGGTGTCGGTTACCGCTTACCGATGAATCGTCATCTTGTTGGTCATTCCCATCATCATCTGCTTCTTCCTCATCCCAACCATTTGTGGTCGGTGTAATATAATTATTTCTCTCCCATTCAACCCTGTTCGCAATTATCTCGTTTTATAATCCCTTTCATGCCATATCATCTGTCACACAGTCCATCTCTCTCTATTTCGGCCTTCCTCGGTCCTTATTCTTATCCTACTCCTTTTTGATCATTCATATTACATACAAAAACGTTTGTATTGTGCGAGGAATCGAACCCGCAAAATGATAGACAACTGAGGCCGACAATAATAACAATAGGAACTAATATTTTACTCAGATTTTATTGGGAAATTCCTAATGTGAATGTTGGGTTTTTTATGAATATCGATATGAAGTCGAAATTAATTTCAAGGATTAATTAGCATAATATCTGTAATACGATATATAGATTAAATAGATAATAATATATTAACTATAAAATGAGATATAGATTACAGAGATTATTTTAAATCAAAAGTCCGCAATTACTTATCATACCAATACAATAAATGCAAAAATATCTTTGCCTCTCTGTCAGTATGTTGTCATTTGATGTGTAAACGGCTGATAGATTCTTAATGAAATTTGACATGAACAGTGATTATCACGAAGACAACTGGTAGGGAATCAGTGGCAACCGTTTATCTAAAATAAATATTCTGGGAAGAATTGAAATTTTAATTAAGGGCTGCCAAAAATATAAACAATAATAAGATTACATAAAATATTTAATTTTCTTTTGATTATAAATAAACTTTTGTAATCAGGAAATGTCGTAAATTATGCTTTACTTAACAAATCAGAAAATACTTAAATAAATTAGATTGTAATTGTGTCCAATGAACGGAACTTAATCTCGTTGAGGTTGTTTTGAAGTCCAAAATTATGAGCTAAATTTATGCGCTAGGGTGTTGTTAATTTTCGTCTTTGTTCCAGGCTCCTGAGCATTGGTAGTGTCTATTCAGCCTCAACCAATCCAGGTCGGTGACTCTCTGAAGTTGACCCATTTCTCCTTCGAAAGGCTGAAACAATAGCAATATTAAAAGTGGATCTGAGAAAGGGGAATGTGGATGATTGACCCCATTGTTAGCAATGTAACATGTCAGATGGACTTCTAAGCAGTTCCCCTAGAAACCATCGTGGTAAATTGCCTTTTGTCAATATGGGCTGACAGCTCATTTTATTATGCTCCACTGATCAGCGTAAACCGATAGCACAGGTACCCTGCTGCTCCCACGGTGCCCACGTCAATCAACCCATAAAAAATCTACTCAATTTAACTGAAAATTAAAATGGTTAGTCTATTAAAAGAAACTTCAACAGCAGTAGAACCCACCCTGAGCGGCTCGATGGTTGGTAGACCGTTAATACTGAATCCGTACGGGCCGTAGTGCATGCAACTAGTGTACTCATACGGCAGCTGAAGATTGCTCACCAAGTTGTTTTCGTATTTGTTGAAGTTGTGCTCCTTGCCTGTTAGCAAAAACATAAATATTGTCTTAGGCAATCGGAATGACATACAAACTGACCGTTGCTGTTCATTCCTCTAATAGTAGGCGGTAACCGTCGCCCAAACTATTAATATACCGCTTAACCGTTACCACTCAGGAGGACTACAATATCAGGCCTCTTATTCAATCACTCAATGTGTTATTGAGAAAATGTGTGATCCCTTCAACCGAACCACAGCACACAAAGTAAGCTGGTCAGCAGCTAAAATAATTAAGCTAAAAAAGTTGTAAAAGCTGAAACTGCTTTACTGAAGAAGAATTTTTTTAGTGAATCTATGTAAACACTGTTAGTGTTACAATGTTATTAGAAAGTCGGCTGCATGGGTAATGTTTCTCAAGTATTTCATCATTGCAGCTTTGCTTTGTGAGCTGTATTTCAGCTAAAGTTTGAGATTACGCAGTGAAATTACAGAAGATACAGGCAGGATACTTTAGTTCTTAGGAATGGCAATGCCACGCCGTGGCGGTATTCAGGTATTTAGGCGATGGCTGCCAATTAACAATTACCACTAGGTGGCCGTCAGTTCGATAAAAAGTCTACATAAGATTCCAAATTACATAAACAAGAAATCGAACTGGTCAATTAGCTAGCTTTATAAAACGTGTTTTGGGAGTAAAATTACAATGCACGAAAGACCTTAGTTCCCCAGCCATCTGGTATGTTAACAATAGGATTTTTACTTAATTTTAGACGTGAACACCTACTAAGTACACAATTACAAAACTGCCCTTTAAAAAAATAGAAATCAGTCGAGTTTCTTGCCAGTTCTTCTCAATTGGATCTGTCTACTAAATTGAACATAGGGAAAAAATATTGATACAAAACATTAGACGTTCTTAAGTGTCTAAAATATCCTACCTGAATTTAGTCCTACCAGGTTTTAATTTGATTTGATAGAGAAACCAACCACTCTCAATGTTCTCCCACGCAATCCGGACGTAATCATCTCTATTGTAGGTGGACTGCATGTGAAGGAAACCGAGCACGTGCAGCCACTCGTGGATGATGATGATAGGGTTGAAGCAGCCATTGGCAAGGTTCAGGGTGTGCACGCCTCGGGTCGCCCAGTAGCCGACAGACGCGTAGCAACCATCCGGTCGGTTCTGTTACAACACATATTAGAGATACAATTTCATTTCTCCATAAATAAACCATACAGACCAACCAGACATAGTACTACTTCAGGACTAGTAATACTTTTCAAAGAAGACATTTCGTTTATGCACGATTGGGCTACAACCAACCATAGGATGTATATTTTCAAAGTGCAGAAGTTATAGGCATTGTCAACGGACTATATCGTAAGATAAGCATTGTCATACCCATATATCTCTAGGTTTATCTTTATATTAAGGTGGCAATGAACGAGACCGCATTTAGATTATTTTCGATATTAACGTTGCAATAAAACCACTATCTGGTTGACACCATTTTGTATGTCAATTTTAATTTATTATTAAATCACCGACCATACATGTAACAGATAACAAATCATATTAATCCGAGATACGTAGCCTCACCCTCTACACCTAAATTGACGGCCTCGGTGGTCTAGTAGTTTAACTCACTGCTTTACTTCCAATAGTCGCAGGTTCAATTAATTGCACGGTACAAATCATTGTATTCACGACTATGGTTGTTTGTATTGGTCTGGGTGTTTTATATGTATGGATTTACAAAACAAAATGTATCTAATTATTTATATCAGTTGACCCATAATACATGCTGGACTTAGCTTAGGACTAAATGGCTTTGTGTGAATTGTCCATGGATCTAAAATTTATAACAATATGTGAATAAATCAAATGTAATTTTATCCACAATGTTATAAGTTAATAATGCATCATTATCTTATTTATATATGTAGTATGTTTATAATGTATATATATATATATATAAATATAATATGTATGTATGCTCATAATTTGTTTGTATGTAGTATATTATCACGTATATGTATGATCTTATATGTATTTAATATAATTACATTTAATTTATTAAAACTAAACCGCCTTCGAGTATCTCTGCACTCCCTAAGGTTGGCTGGTAGAGAATGCTATTGGCATTAAGCCCGCCTATTAAATAAATAAATAAATTGAACTCCTCATCTGGGATTGCAGTCATTTGGATATATATTTTTTATTATTACAGTTTTAAAATACGTACAGTGAGCCTAACGAAGTTCTGGTCTGCTGAATTTCTGTAACGGAATCGAAGGCATGAGTTCCTCTCGATGTCATCAATGGAATTGATAATAGCTAATTCTTGGGTGGCAGCTGTAAACAATAATTAAACTATTTAGTACCTTAAGTAGTATTAGTCAAATGACAGTAAAATTGCAAAGTATGGAGCTATGGTATAGAGACATGACACTACTGCTCCGAAATAGCAAATATGAGGAGCAAATAACGACGTGATGTCCGTCTGTTCATGTATATAAGCTATCGTTACTTTCCAGAAGATAAATCGTCAGCTATTTGTCACCTTTTAGTCACATAAATTATAACATAAAGTTACGACGTAGGAATGTTTCTAAACTATAGTATAATGCGCCGCTTACTAATTTCTCGGTATGCCTTATGGTTGACTGGTAGAGAACCCCCTTAGGTGTTAAGTTCGCCATATATATACATTTGTATTATTAATTTAAGGCACTAATACAATATACACATTTATATATTGTACTAGGTCTGGCCGCGGTTTCACCCGCGTTAAATTTCAATATATAAACTACAATAAAAAAAATATAGCCTAAAAATATAGTAGAATTTCATCAAAATCCATTCAGTAGTATGAAACGTAAAAGTGTAACAAACATCTACCCATATATTATTATGATTTGTGCATTAAAGTTTGAATAAAAATAAATAAATAAAACTATTGAAACTTAATAGTAACGTATTCAGATACTTACTGAATTCTCCAGCACCGAACTCCCACACGACAATATTGTCAGGCCATTTGGTATTCGGAAAGATATAAGCATTCCTGCTGCTAGAGAAGTCATCCACCAGAGCTGCAATTTGCTCCTCATCCAATACTATGTCACCCTCGTACTTGCCGCTGTTCTCCCACGCACTGGCCAGCGGGTTGCTGGCCATTCGATTCTCGAGAGAGGAACCATCTGTCGATGAAAATTAAGCTTCAATTCGCTTCTAATTCCTAGACTCCTAATACTTTTGCGGGGGATATTTCCTGCACGCCTAGATGAAAGGTCCTTCAATGAGAACCATGCTGGTGGTCTTGGCAATACCTTGGCGATATATTCGAGGAGAAATAGCCGTTATTTTTGGCCAGTAAGAGTCCAGCAGTCCTCTAGGAAGATATTCATGAAGAAAAATAGAAGACTCTTAATACTTTAAGAATACAATTAATTAATCTTGCTGTAAATGATAGGTATTCTATCTAAAGTATAACTAGCTAATAGTGTTAAGAACTTATGTAAAAAATATATATATATTTGAAAATATACATTCCTTGTCTTTCTACATTAGAAATTATCTTTGAATATTAGAAAGAAAAAAGAAAAATTTTGACTTCATCGTGAATACATGATATATTTTACGTTCCTCATTATTATTGCCCTATTATTGAACCTAATTAGAATTCCAATTAATTATCTATATTAATTATATATATGTATGTTGGGTTTGCTGTACTGCTCAATAAATAAGTATCTTATAAATAAAGATTTTAAATATTTCAGCTTAACTACACAGCAGCATGAACATACGTAAATATTATTAATCTGTAATTTCACTCTGTCCGAAGAGATATAGATATCTTTCGTGTAGAATTCTCTAATAATGAGTCGACAGAATTATATTAAAAATATGAAAATATGAAATTGATAAAAATATTTTTTCCTTCTTTCGTATATCATATAGGAAAGAAGAAAATAATATTAATAATATGTATTATAAATAAAAAAATATAATTTATGAAATGTTTGTTGGTGAGAGTTAGTGTGAGGTGGTTACCTCTATCTCATATGTACTCGTATATGTATCTCTCCCACCGAACAGCTTTGCTTATGATGTGAAATTTCTGGATATCACGATATTACACTGTAGTCCTCAGAAATGGCAATATAAGAGAGGTGACACTTTCCATCTAAATTATCGCCACCTATTACGTAAAAAACGCGCTCTCCCAGTTTTCATGAAAAGTAGTTGTTGTATCAAACAAAACCATTAAAAAATGTATGTATTTTGTAACCTCGTCTAGTGGACTCTAAGAAAGTCCTGAAGTCGTCGATCTCCTGCCTCGATCTGGACACTGTAGGTCCCGCGGCCGCGAGCCCAACCAAACACACGAGTGCCACTGCTTTTATCATATTTGTAGAGTGTTCTATATTTAGTATAAGCCGCTATATATATGGACTTTGTAAAATTATCAATGATTATTTATTTAATATAGATTAGGTTTCCATCAATATTGATCAATATGTTTAGAGCTCCAACGGACACAACATTTCATTATTTGTGTACTAGCAGTACAAATGCGGCTGAAAATACTAGCAAAATCCGAAACATACAAATCTAGAAGTACATTTTCTCTATTATACTTATAAATAATAACATTTACTACAACATTTTATTAATATATAATCTTGTAATCTGAATATTTTTTTATTGGAGCAAAGACTTGTAGCACTGCGATCTGCATAAATGTATTATGCTCGGCCTTTTTCAAAGTTGGCTACCTAGACCCGCCAGGGGCAAGAATTGAAGGAGAAATGGTTATCACCTCACTTATCATAGATGAAATGATTATACTATTCTAGCTACACACCCCGGCTGCACTGGTGTACATGTATTATACATATAAACCTTCCTCTTGAATCACTCTATCTATTAAAAAATCCGCTTCAAAATCCGTTGCGTAGTTTTAAATATTTAAGGGGGTCTTCCTATGTGATGGGTTGAAAAAATCGATTTTTTTTTTCATAAATTGCTCCCTTAACATGTCTAGAATACGGTAGTAAAGCGATTTTAGAAAATTCGAAGTCGTTTTAAAGATACAGCAGGTAAAAGAAAGAGCGGTTCGGAGCGGTGAGTTGGCAGTTAGAGACCGGGCCTATTGTGTACCGTCGGCTTTATACCTGGCCTCCCTTTTATTAATATATTTGTTTATACAAGTTTAGACACGTTTCTACAGACTTAACCCTTAAGTTAATTTTGTATAGTATACCATACATACAACTTTATAAAATTCTATGATCACTATAAATAAATTTTTAACTTCGTTTTATTAACACATAACATTTCTGGACGTTTATTTATACTTCAAAAATAAAAATAGTCGTTTATCTGTCATAATTTTAAATCAGTTGTGAAAAATAACCATCAAGATGCGCCGCTCTGGTTTAACTAAGGTAAGTTTAATTTTATTTTTATGTTTTTACCCCTAAATATGTATGTTTATTATAAAATTCGCATGCCTAAAAGTTTGTTCTTACATATTTTTATATAGATAGATAGATAGATAGATAAAAATTTTATTCACGTTAAAGGCACACACACACACAAAAGGCACTGTAATAATAAGAACAAAAATAAAACAGATATACACATTACATTAGTGAAGTCAAACAAAATACAATACACAACAATTATACAGATAAAATAAAATGCAATACAGATAACAAAAAACGGTATGAGTAACGTAGTGTGTGTGCATAGCCCATACGTAAAAAGGCAGCACCTCAGTGTATTGTTTGCAGCATACAAGCAGCAAACCACTGATATTCAGGCACTGCCCAGAGACATACGCGAGGACGCATGTAACAAGACCACAGCTTGTAATCAGCCCTATTACATTATCATAAATATTAATATATTAAAAAAGAAAAAAAAAAACTATATTAAAACAAGAAATAGGTATAACATATAGGCATAAAATATATAGGAAATTATTATCAATTCATATAATAAAATAAATATGAAAAACAAAAGAGAAAATAGAATTATTGCATAAGAGTGTTAAGTGTTTAAAAGGAGTGTTGAGTGTTGAGTGTTGAGTGTTACCACTATCAAGCAACCAAAACCACTAATCAAATATTGGGGAAAATGAAGAAATATATGTACATTATATGTATATGCTGTTGTCGCTATGAGAATTAGCATGTTTTTGTCGTGTTTTTTACTAACGTATATTATACTATACAATGCCGCAGCTGCAGTAATCTACCTTTCGTCGATGCTGTATAGAATAATATACATTGCTAACTTCATGGGACCAAAATGGTCTTGGACTTTCCTATAAAATTTAAATTGCAAGTAAATTTAAAATAAAATTGTAGTGATGTTTGACTGCCTCGTTGATATAGTGGTTGTAGAAAGCGATAAACAAAGTTGTGGGTTTGATTCCCACAAAAAATACTACTATTATTATTACCGCATGACTATCTACCTATATAAAGAGACAAATATTATTACATACATTATTTACCTATGTATAATAAAATGTAGTATGGCTTTACTATGGTGATGGTTTTTTGCATGTTTCTTTTGCTTTGGTTTTAGACTGCTGAGTGAAAGAGCTAGGCGTATTTTATCTTTGGTGCCTGAAAAGAATGCAAATTCCGACACAAGTGACGGCGCTAGTAGCGGTGATGAAGCTGGAATGATTGGATCAGCAGAGAGTTCTCCAGCGCCATCGATAAATTCCAGTCTCGAAAGGTTAAACCTCCTACAAATCTCTGATGATCAGATAGGAACGCATGTAGATGATATTTATGTCGATACAACCGATGTGCCTCTTACACCTATTCTTACTCAACTATTTCCTAATCCATCAGAAAGTAATTATGATGCTCTACCCTCAATTTCATCTTTGCCATCTTTGCTTTCGAATCAACCAATTGCATCCACGCCTGTCAGGACACCTTTGACGCGCGCTCAAAAAATGAAGCGCAAATCTCCAGAAGCGCAAAATCGCAGAAAAATCTTTTCGTTGGCAAAGAGCTCAATTTCAACACAAGGCTGAAATAGCAGGCCCTACATTTTTGGAACCTGTACCATCTGATTGGCCACCTCTAGATTATTTTTATAGATTTTTTACCGAAGAATTAGTAGATACTATTACCATTCACACAAATTTATATAGCGTACAAAGAATATGAAGATCTATAACAGTTTCAAGGGAAGATATACTAGACATTTTGGCAATAAATGTTATGATGGCTATTGTAGTTTTGCCATCATACAAAGATTATTGGAAAAAGTAATTTTTTTATGGCAAGGTAGCACATGTAACAGATCAGGTCAGATCAACGATTTTTACATTTTACCAATAATTCTGAAGCCGATACATTAGATAGATATTATAAACTACGTCCTATAATTGATAGCATTCGAACACAGTGTTTATCCGTAGAAGAAGAGAATGCTTTTAGTATTGACGAAATGGTTATACCGTACAAAGGGAAGAAGTCGTCGTCAATATAACCCAAATAAGCCTTGTTGCCGATGGCAACCTTTTTGATAGTTTTTATGTTTTTTATATGTATTTGAATTTTATATTTTGACGTTCTGTTTTTATATACTATTTGTTTTCTTATGCCATATTGTCTTTATATTTTTGCTAGCGAGCTGATTACACCTATTTTACCTCACCTAAGAACGTGTCTCATTTTTAACCAGCCTTAATACAGTCCATCCTTCCTTCCGTAACATTGTGGTCCTTTCTTTCGCCGTCTTTAGTATTATAATATATTAAAAAAATCTAAATTTTTTCTCCGACATGAAGACACGTTCCCAAACGAAGGGTGAGAGTAGTCAGCCAAGAGCGGAATCCTCCGCGGATATAGTTGGTGAGGAATCCAGCGCGCCGCTCGAAACATCGGGCGCAGCACGCTCTTTTATTTCAGGTTCCACTACTTCATCTTCCACTGTCAGAGCCCGTTCCGTAGCCGCTCAAGTCGAGCATGCAAAAAAGCTCTTGGATTTGGAACGAGCCGCAGCTGCGAGAGAAGCGAGCGCCAACAAAAAGAAGCGGAGAGAGAACGACAATTACAACAAAGAGAACGTGAGGTACTCGAATTGGAGCTATCCGCTCAACTAGCTGAGATTGAAGCTGAAGATGAACGTAACAGTCGACGTAGCGTTCGTTCCTCTATTAAATATGTCCAGGGTTGGCTCAACAAATGTGTGGATGTTGCAACGGAGCCTAGGGAGGTGGTCATTCCCAGTCGTACTGCCCCTGTTGGTATTCAAGCCACCGGTAGTTCGGCTCTTGTGGATTTCCTACCTTCTACAACGTATCCCCGCAGTCGTACCCCTGTTTCGGAGGTCACTTATTCGCGCCTCGGTACGCCTGCCCTTGTGGATCGCGTCTCTGTTTCTAATAAATTCACTAACAGACATTTGACTTTTTCAGAGCCCCAATCTACATATCTTCAATCTTCAGGTCCTATTAATGCGGTGCTGGCTGAATCATCGGCACAGTGTAGTTACCAGTGTCCTCAGGGAACAGTGACTACAAATCAGTACCCAGAAAGTAATATTTGTTGTAAAAATAATACGCTCACAGGTAATTCAGATATTCGTTTATTAGCAAAGGCAATAACAACTTTAACAAATAATAACTGTCCTTCTCAACATATAGATGATCGCCTACCTCCCTATGATGGTAAGCATTTAGGTTCGTTTATTTTTAATTGGTCACTTTTAGCTGATTTTTTGACTAGAGAGGTAAATATCCAGTTGCAATTTAGCATCATCATTAATCATCCTGGCAGTTCTTTCGATAATTATTCTAAAATAAATTCTAAAATGAAAAATTCATCATCACATACATTTTTTTTGAGTGACAATGTTGATAATACGCATGACAAGACATTAACATGTCTTTATTGTCAGCAGTGTCATGTAATAGATATGTGTAAAAAATTTATTTCTCTCACACCTCAAAAGAGGTTTGATTGGTGTAAAAATGAAAAAGTTTGTAACCGATGCCTTAAGAAAGATTTACATAGACATAAGTTTTGTACTAGAGGTGATTGGTATAATAATTCGGGGTGTATATATATACATCATAAACTTTTACATTTTTTGTCGGGTGTGTCGGGGTCCTCCGTCAGTAATAATTATTTTACTATAGAGGATATATCTAAGCAAGACCAACCTCGAGCACAGATTTCCCTGATTTCCGTAGTTTTTCCTCCGATAATGACAGCCGAAAAGTATGAAAAAGAAACGGTTGCTCATTCATTTATTGGTCAGACTGTCAATGAACTTAAGGCTTTACGGCCATTGTTGTGTGGTTTTTCACATTCGTCAAATAATGTACCAGGGACGGATTCAGAAGTTAATGTAAATTATTATTTAACAA